ATAAAACTATATATATAAATATATATATATATATATATATATATATATATATATATATATATATACATATACATATACATAGACGCATATGAATGTACTTTTTAATTTATAATGAATACCGAATTATAATTATTTCCAATAACAATTAAATAATCAATTCTTTAATACTGATGTATACAATATAGGTCATGAATAGTAAATACCATTTTGACAAATAAGATAAAAACAATCGTGAGTTTGTTATCAAGTCTGCAATGTATATTATACATTGACTTTTAATTTCCTGACTAAATGACGCAAAGAAACTTTTCACACAAGTTGACGGAAATTAAGACAATTGTAATTCATAATGATGTTTGTTAATTTCGTTTATCAATATTAAATATTTCGTTTATATGACTTGTCCACTACAACATAGTTTAAATTTATTCAAATTCGGTTGCCTTTTTTTGTGCAAATGGAAACTACTATTTAAACGTAGATATTGTGTCGCTAAAGCAAAAAAATCCATGCTAATTTGAACATTATCCGCTGCTGCACAAGAATTTATTTTACCAAAGTATCGTTAACGGTATGCAATTATTTCGGGTTTGTTAGTCGATAATTAACGGGGACAATATAACTATCAATGTTAGAAAATTTATCACTACTAGATTTCTTTTCAACAAATTTGCATGAAACATGCATTTTTTTCAACAGAAAAAGTTTGCGTAGAAACCGTCGCACCTGGAATCAATGTAATATTAATTTAATAATTATACAACTGCAGTTTAATGTACAAAGGGCTACACAAGAATTATAAGTGAATAATCCCAAAGACTTTTATAAGGAAATTGATAATGTGACGCAATCTTGAATAAGATAGGAAATATATCATTGGTCACTAATTAAACTTTCTGTTATCTTAAATCCACCTTTCCTTTTTATTATTCACCTTAACACTATGCCGTCCGGTGGCAGCACGCTGGTGCCATGCAAAAACTATCTGTTGTATGCCGGTGGTATCACTTTGGTGCCATTTTAAAAAACTGAAATAACATTTGAACTATATTTCTTGGGTGTTAAAAGGCAGCAAACTAACTATAGCATTGTGCTTATTTAACTAAGAATTAAGTACGAAAATTCTTGGATGACATATCTTAATTTTAGGAATTTATATTACCGCCATCTTCGAAATTTTTTTTTTAATCTAAAATTTCCAAGTTATTATGCTGGCGTCAAACAAAGGAGTCATATCTAAGATCTGCGGACAATATAGTGTTAATAATAATCCACCTTTTATAATAGCTAGCATCCTTTTGACATCCAACTTTCTTTGTGAAATTATTAGAATTGTGTAGGTAGCTAACGGGGGTATCGTTATGCTTTATTTGTAGTGGGTAATTACCATTTTCACATAATAGTGCCGTACGTGGGGTTATCCCCCTTCTCTATTATCTATGCGATAAAAGGTTTTGCGATAAATTCACGGATTTGAGTGACAAGTAATCGCTTACAATATCGTGACACAGTTTGCCCGTGTAATTCTGATGTGACCGTGCTTTTGTATCTTCGAACAGGTAATGTTCTTTTCATTTTTAAATTTTTAAAGGAATCCTTTAAATGTTGGTTGAATTCATTATAACGCGGGGCGGCTCATTCTTTGATATTTTCTCGAGATTTAAGTGATAATTAAATCAATAGAAGGTCTTAATTTTACGTGTTAGATTACTAAATGTCAAACATAAAATGCACCTAATGTGCTCTTCGTTGCATTTTTAATTTGCTTAAGAATAAAATGAAAGGAAGCAAATTAGATCGCGTTTGTAAATGGCGAACTCGAGTTATCACGCATATTACAACAACAAATGAATCTAGTTTTATTATCTTATACTTCCAAAGTTTGCCGATTTCTCAGCGGTGTATGCATAAGAATCTGTGTGTTGTCACACTCAGGTAACCTCGAGTATATTTCCAGAGATATCATTATCTACTGCGGAACCATGAATTTAATTTAGAGCAGCTCTAAGTCTATGATATTGTGGCGTTGTCTTTTTAAATGCATATGTAATAATTCAGATGTCCAAAACGTGTTTATGATGCAAACAAAATACCGACGCTACTGAACAATTGCTATTGCACAATGGGTTTGTTACTTTATTCCACGAAGGTCAGTGGATCGCCTTGCATCATAAAAAGTTCAATGAAATATTTGTTTTAATTGAATCCTACGTCCGGTGTTTGACAATCGAATAGATCAGCTCGTAACAGTGGTATTCTGTTGTCATTTTTAATTACATCGTGATCGATCTACATTCGAGTGATCAAACAGAAGTCCGCCTGTTTTGGGCAGACGCAGATATGTTAGACCAAGTGCATGATACAAATTTTTGTATATCTTGTCATATATACACGATGTACACGTGTGTGACGAGATAACACAATTTAAAATAAACGATTAAATTGTGATCGGCATATAAAAAGGGTCGAGGGAACGGTATTGATTCAGATTTACGATACCCGCGAAACATCGAAGTCGAATGACCAAGGTAACGTTGTATTCATAAGTCATAGCTTGTACAATGACTAATCCTCTACTTAGTAAAGAAATTCGTAATCGTCCAGTTTTCCGCAAAAAAGCCGTGTCTCGCAAGACTCTAACGAGTCACAAAGCTAACACTCGATAACGAGTTGAGAAATTAATCTCTTGTTCCCAGATGTTCAAGACAGCATTTTTAGTCGCCTTCGTAGCGACGATCGCCGCCAATGTTCAGGCTGAGAGTAAGTATCACCGCGATCTTGATAATACTAAAGAAAAAATGTTACCTATCTTGTCAATTAGCCATGAGAGCTTTCTTCTACCGACAAAACATATGACACCTATCGCGCATACAATACAATACACTCTTCTTGTCTAGAAAAGGTCGTTTGCTACTTCGGTAGCTGGACCGTTTATCGTCCAGGCAACGGAAAGATCGAGATACAGGACATCAACCCCAACCTTTGCACGCACATGATCTACAGTTTCGTTGGTCTTAACACGGATGGCACCATCAAGATCATGGATGCTTGGGCCGATTTATCTGACGGTGGAGGCAAAAACGGCTTCGGCAAGTTCGTTGCTCGCAGCAAACAGGGCGGTGCCAAAGCTATGATCGCGATCGGTGGCTGGAACGAGGGCTCTGCCAAGTATTCCCAGGTAGTTGGCAACCCGGAACTCCGGTCCCAGTTCGTTCGGAACGTGGTCAGCTTCCTGCAACGGTACAATTTCGACGGTTTCGACGTCGACTGGGAGTATCCTAACCAGCGCGGTGGCCAATGGAGCGACCGAGAGAACTTTGTGGCTCTGTTGAGGGAGCTGAGACAGGCTTTCGATAGCCACGGTTACACCCTCAGCGTGGCCGTTGGCGCCGCCGAGAAGTCTGCTTCTCAGTCCTATATCATTAATCAAGTGGCTGAGTATGTTCACTTCATCAACTTGATGACCTATGACATGAACGGAGCCTGGGACAATTGGGCTGGTCTCAACGCCCCGCTCTATGCTGCCACTCGGGAAAAAGGAGAGCAAGCTAAACTCAACGTTGTAAGTGCACAAATGGCTATTGGTGTGCTTCATTATTTATGTACGATCTCGCGGTCTTGATGGTTGAATTGTTCTGTATTATTCTAGGACGCTTCCGTCCATTACTGGCTCTCTCAAGGTGCTCCCGCTGACAAGCTCGTTCTTGGTATTCCATCCTACGGACGAACCTTCACTCTGGCGAACCCTGGTAACAACGATGTAGGCGCTCCAACGTCTGGTCCTGGAGCTGCTGGCCCGTACACCAGAGAGGCGGGCATACTCGGCTACAACGAAATTTGCGAATCTCTTCGCCAAGGTGGCTGGAACGTTCATAGAGAACCCCAGCAGCGTGTGCCTTATGCTGTCAAGGGCAACCAATGGGTTGGATACGATGATGTCGAGTAGGTGCTAGTTTGCTCAATGGCAAACTGTAATAACCACTTATCGGACACCTTCTAATGCGAACCCTTTATGCCTTTTAAACTCACGTATTTTTTCGTACGTTTTCAGATCCGTTCGCGAAAAGTGTAACTACGCCAATAGTCTGGGTCTCGCCGGTGGTATGATGTGGAGCGTTGAAACAGACGATTTCCGTGGTACCTGTGGACAGAACTACCCCCTTTTGACTGTTATGAACGAAGTTCTGAGGGGTAGCGAACCAAGTAATCCTCAACCACCGCCTAATACATCCACAACGTCAAAACCTACGCCAGTACCTACCACAAAACCGCCTAGTCCACCGGCGTCAGGGATCTGCCAGAAGGAAGGATTTATTCGCGATCCTAATGACTGCTCCGTTTTCTATAATTGCGTGAATGTGAATGGAAAATTGGTGGAATACAGGTTACAATGTCCAGACGGCCTCGCCTTCGATCCGAATATCAATGGCTGCAACTACAGGGACCAAGTACCGGGCTGCTGAACCGTGCAATTCAAATAAATCGACTGTTCCACGGAACAATTTTTGTGATATGCACATTTTGTAACTTGCGAATCGTTTTAATAAAAAAAATTGTATAATAATATCTTTAACCGCATAATAATACGAGAAGGACCGTTCTTTGATCCTGATCCATGTTCAGATAAAATATAATATAGGGTTAGGTAAATCAGTTATCAGTAAACTGTTATCAGTAAACTGATAACTGATTGAATCCTCGTTTTGTTTTAATATACAGCGGCTCACAAAAGTGTTCGTACACCTTTTAAAACGTAATAACTTTTTTAAAGCTGGATTAAGCAACTTGAATTTTTTGCAGATAACCTAACAAAAATTCAAGTCACTTAGACCAGTTTCAAAAAAGTTATTGCGTTTTAGGTGTACGAACTCTTTTATGGTGTACGAACACCACTGTACGTCCAAAAACAGTTTTTTTGGAAAGTTTTTTACATTCAGTATGATATCGATTAATAGACGAAATATGAAAATTTATAAACAACTTATGATATAAACGTCGTCCTAATTTTATTGCTCGATGTAATTGCTTAGATATCGAAATAAATTAAAAAGAAGGTAGAAGCTTAGTAATACATAATTCTTAACTGACTATTGTCAGCAATCAGAAAAATTAGTGTGAAGCGATATGTCAGTAGAGTATGACTATCTTTATGGCTTACAATTAGTAGTATCGGTTTGGTACGGTATGTGGAATATGTGCTACGTCGCAAGCGCGACGGGGATTGCCTCCGAACGGACGCTCGACGGCGCCTATAGCACAGCCCCGGGCCGAAGTAATGCTAGCGCGGTTCCGACTTCTGAGATTAGCAGTGAGCGAGAGAGGGAGTGGTGGGGGTATTAGGGGGGTAAGCTGGAGGACGAAAGCTTTGGACTCGGGCAGTCCTCCACCTCGTGCGTAAGAGCATTTCCTCTCCTCAATCAAAAAAAGAAAAAGTATAGATACAAAATATTTGTCAATGATTAATAACAACTAACAAAATACAAGTACGGTGTAAAGTATGCCAGGATTATTGCAGAATTACAAATGTTAATAGAGGATAAGAGTGCTTATTTGCAGAATTAAAAGTTTCGGTAACCATAGTTATTTGGACAAGCAATAGAATCTCGGTGCATTTCTAGAATTTCACATTCAGTTGCGCTACTTTGAGATGATTTCTCATTTCTCATTATCTAGAGCAGAGCTGTTCAACAGACCTCGCGGCGGGCAAGGGCAAAATCAAGGAGTAAGGGCGAAGCTACGTGCAAGCGTCATGCAATTGGCGGACGTGAGAAAAGGAAGAGGGAAGTGTTTACGTTTTCGTGCCGCCACCCTTCCTCTCTCATTCGCACGCGTTACGGTTATATGCCAATCGTCCGAGCTCATTCTAATTCACTCAATCTTAACCTACAGTCGATCTCTGTCACCGTCTTCGGCCAATGTAACGTACCGTTACTGGTGGGGAATCCCGGGAGGAGCTAATGAAGGGGAAGCCTAAGGAAGCCCTGTGTTGAAAATCGCTGTCCGTACGCGCAAGCTGTTGAACATATCTGATCTAGATGGATCGAGGACGTTGTTTCTTACTGATGTCACCAACAAGAGATTTATACAATTGTAAATATTCAAATAAAACGACAGAATGAAATAAATTAACGAATAAATAAAGCGTATAAAAAGTGCAAGTTGTTTATTCCTTGTCGCATCTTTCTAATAACTATTCGGAATGCTCGATTACTCGGCACTGTTCGATTCAAATGTATTAGATACTGCATTATGTATACGTATGTACTTAAAGACACTTGATAAACGATATAACTTTCTTCAAATAGGAATTTTTTTGAATTTTTTTGCGATTATAGAGTGAATAGTCTGCTAGACAACAGTTATAATACTTTTTTGAAATTCTGCTATTGCTTGGAATGATAAAACAAAATAATGTAGAGATAGTAGGTTTGGAAATTATTCCAATTTATTACTAAACAGTGACGCTCACAAAATATAATACAAAAAGACAGTAAAGTAATATACAACAAAATAATGTAGAGATAGTAGGTTTGGAAATTATTCTAATTTATTACTAAACAGTGACGCACACAAAATACAATACAAAAAGACAGTAAAGTAATATACAACAAAATAATGTAGAGATAGTAGGTTTGGAAATTATTCTAATTTATTACTAAACAGTGACGCACACAAAATACAATACAAAAAGACAGTAAAGTAATATACAACAAAATAATGTAGAGATAGTAGGTTTGGAAATTATTCTAATTTATTACTAAACAGTGACGCACACAAAATACAATACAAAAAGACAGTAAAGTAATATACAACAAAATAATGTAGAGATAGTAGGTTTGGAAATTATTCTAATTTATTACTAAACAGTGACGCACACAAAATACAATACAAAAAGACAGTAAAGTAATATACAATAATTCTCGCGATTGTACGCCGAAGTCGTAAACCGTGTTCGTTATAATATAATACTGTATTGTTATCCGTGTCGTAAACATCGTGATCGCAGCCGTGTTCGTAAATCGTAATCGTATCCGTGAGTATGATCGTAAATTGTGTGTCGACGTTCGTCGCATTCTGCAGTCTCGTACCCTATGAGCACATCCTTTTATTGATGCGCTGGTCAACCGTTACGAGTCTTCCTTCGAATTTAGCCGTTTCGTTCGATCAGCGCCTAACGCCCGCCGATCGTCCTAACACTTCACCGACCGATAGCGGTTCAGCACTCTATTCACTTCTTACCGGCCGCTCGGCCGCAGATCTTCCCTTTCACCGGCTCTGTTTCGGCTTAGACTGTCGCGCGGGAATATATGCGCTTTTCTTATGTACGCTTCCTATCATTACAGGATAATCAAATTGAATCGAAAATCTTTTATTTTCATGATATTAGCGCTAAGCAATATTTATTTTATCTATTACAATCGCTTACAGTTTAATATTTATATAATAATATTTATAATATTTATAATATATTTATAATTTATAATTTTATAAATATAATAAATAATATATAAATTTATAATTTATATATTTATAATTTATAATTTTATAAATATAATAAATAATATATAAATTTATAATTTATATATTTGTAATATTTATATATAATATACTATAATCCATATAAAGATATTTTTCAAATAAGAAATCATTTAATATTTCTTTAAAGTATGATGCCGTTCAACACAGTCATCTTTGTGTTACTGGCAAAACTTGTTCTACTTTCTTTTTAAATCGGCTATTGGTCGGTAAGGGGGACAAAAAGCCGATTAATCGGCTACCGGTCGGTAAAGTGCGTTGCGATGTTTACATCGCGATGCTCATGTATGCAAGCAACAGGTATATCGCGTGAGGTTAACAGACAGGAGTCTGCGAGTTCCGATTGGTGTTGTGATTTCGGAGGCTATTAACCTTCGGCTCCTACAATAAAAGTTCATGTTTTCCAACTTTTTTATTTCAGCCTATAACGTAACCTTAAAAAGTTCGTTTTGTAGATCTCGATAACTTATATGCATGCTCAAAATTTCATCAAAATCAGTTGCCCTTGACATAAAGCTGTAAAGAGTTAAAGATCGCGAAATTCATAGTACAGTAAATTTTCTGAAATTGTCCCTGAACTTGTAAAGAAAAGTGGATACTCAATTGGCATTCCCAACATAACCATCAACGTGGCCGTTGGCGCCGTCGAGAAGTCTGCTTGTATATTATTAATAATATACATATTATTAATAAAATGGCTCAGCACGTTCACTTCATCAATGTAATAACCTATGACAATTGGGCTGGACTCAACGCCCGTCTCTATGCTGCCGCTCGGGAAGCAAGAGATTAATTAACCAAAATTATTTCAGAATTACAAATGATAATGGAGGAGAAGAGTGCTTATCTGCAGAATTGAACAAACAATAGAAACGATGCACGAGATGCATCTCTAGAATTTCTCATTCAGTTGCACTATTTTATGACGATTCTTGCACATCTGCTATAATATCCAAATTATTCCAATTGTATGCCGATTACTGTATAAAACATTTTGTACAAATTTCAGTTTATCATGTGTGAAATAAGAAAATAGCAATATGTAATAGGTAATATCTTGAGTAATTACTGCCTAGAGACTATCAAAGCTAAATAAACCATATTTATGCACAGGTAAACTTTCAAGAAAGAAGATTATACACATCATAAATTTAATCTCATGTGAAAAAGTATTTTATTAGTGCAATAAAAATGATTGCAGATAGGCAAACAAACTAATCTTCGAACGCCACTGTTTCTTTTTTTTTTCACCAGAACACATTACAATGTGTACAAAGGACCAGTATCCTAATGATTCCTCAAAGAAATCACAGTTAACGATGCCACTGCAAACAGAAATGTTTCCTAGAAATCCTGCCCAGCAACAACGCGACATACATATATTCATACTTATATGGTATATTTGCTTGACACATTGCTGTGATAAGAATGACTTAAATAACGATAAAATAGCTCATGAGGCGATGACAATGGTTTATTCAATTTGCTGATACATTTGAATTGGAACAAAAACACGTAACGCCAAGTATAAATACAGCCGGAAAAATTGGAATGCCTTATGCAACTGTTGGAAATTGCCGGAGGACCGACCGACACAAGAACGGTGAGAAAGAGTTTTCATGGGTTCGCTGAAATCCTTCAACCGAAGGCATTATATCTTAGTTTCGTGATATAACAGTTGCTTTGCCGATAGCCAATGTTAGCGTTATTTATTAGTGTTATTATCGCCTAGTTAAATCAATTATTATCTTACAATTAGTGATGTACATCCTAAAGCATTCGACACCTTTCATTCGAATTCTATCAATTTAGGAGACAACAACCTTCTTACAAGATGCGTACGAAAATTCTGGTTCTCGCCGTCTTCTTGGCTATCGCAGCCTCAGCGTTCGCGGATAGTAAGTATTTTGAAAATTGCCGGTCTCAAATGAGAGTAGGGTTTCAAACTACACTATTACGTTTCTTATACGAATTCCCATGTGAACCATTCCACGAGAGAAATTCGTTTAAATTTCCTTCCGCGTTACCATCTCCGAATCTGGGGATGTTCTCTTAAAAAAGATTGTTTATTCCAATTAAAAAACATCCAGAAAAGATCGTCTGCTACTATGAGAGCTGGGCGAAGGACTATCCCGGCCAGGGCAAGTACCCAATCACCTATCTCAACGTGAAACTCTGCACCCACGTGATTTACGCCTTTGTCGAGGTGAAGGCTAACGGAGAGTTCATAATGCCACAAGACGTGTCCGATCTGGTGCATTTCACCAAATACGTGAAAAGCAACGGTGCCAAAGCTCTGCTTTCTGTCGGCGGGGCCTCCGAGAATTCGAAAACGTTCTCTAATATCGCCGCGAACCCGGCATCGCGTTCTCAGTTCGTGAAGAGCGCGCTCCATCACGTACAGATGCACAACTTCGACGGGCTGGACGTCGACTGGGAGTATCCGAATCAAAACGGTGGCATGAAAGCTGACAAGAATAACTTCGTTACATTGTTGAGAGAACTGAAAAACGCATTCGCCAGCCACCATTGGCTCCTCAGTGCCGCTGTCGGCGCCGAAAAAGGTTCCGCCTCGCAATCTTACGAGATCCGAGAGGTCGCGGCACAGTTGAGCTTCATTAACGTTATGACCTACGACTTCAACGGATACTGGAGCGGTTATACCGGCATGAATTCACCGCTCTACGCATCTCCTAAAGATGGAGACAACCAACTGAATGTTGTACGTATATCACAAATATTATATTATACATTAAATGTGCTATATATTAAATATTAACACGTCACTCGATAAGTCTCTGGTCTGACACATACACATATTATAATATAATATAAATAAATACGAATTCCAATCAATCATACTCTGAAAACAAGATTTCGATATAAAGAATTTCTCGCCATATTCTTATGACAAAGGTTTCTACATAGCTCACAATTCACATTCTCAAGCAATCAGCCTAACTAACTGCCCTCCTGTCCAAACTGTTCTAAATAAACGATTTTACCGAGGATCTTCCTACTGTTGGCAGAACGCTAGCATTCACTATTGGCTCAGTCAAGGTGCCCCTGCCAACAAGATCATCGTTGGTGTGCCATTCTTCGGAATGACCTTCACCCTGAAGAACAGCAAGAACCACGGTGTTCATGCTCCCACGTCCGGCCCCGGGATCAAGGGACCATACACTAATGACAAAGGTAACATTGGCTATAATGAGATGTGCGTAGATCTGAAGAAGGGTGGATGGACAGTAGTTTGGGACCGTAAGGAAGACGTGCCTTACGCGTACAAGGGTAACCAGTGGGTCAGCTACGATAATCCCAGGTGAATGTTTATTGCTGATACTAAAATATATTGAATTTGAATCGATTATACAGATTGTCCCAAAATTGTGGTATTTCCAGGAAATGCGGGGTTCCTAAGGTCGTTTGAAGTAAGTTCTTCCTCAGCGAAAATGCAATCCGTGGCTTCGTTTAGGAGTTATTAACGAATAACACTGACCAATGAGAGGCGAGATCGGCTGACGCGAGGCGGTCGAGCCAATGAACGAAACTGGGCTTCGTCCGCTGGTTGGCTCGGCCGCACTGCGCCAGCCGGGCTGGCTTCTCATTGGTCAGTGTTTTTCGTTGATAACTCGTAAACGAAGCCGCGGATTGCATTTTAGGTAAGGAAGAAATTACTTCAAATAACCTCAGGCACCCCTCATTTCCCGGAAATACCATAGTTTTTGGACGCCCTGTATAATACCGTACGCTACATTCATATAACATATCTTTACAGTTCGATTAAGCAAAAGGCTGCATACGCCAAACATTACAATCTCGGTGGTGTGATGATCTGGAGCGTTGACACCGATGATTTCCACGGTAACTGTGGTCCCAAAAACGCACTTCTCAAAGCTGTCAATGCTGGTTTGAAGCATTGTAAGTCATAACAAAGACATAGAACAAATTATCAATTGAAACTGCATTACAAATATGGTTGATGATGCATTTGCAGAGATCGAGTTGCATTATCTGGATGGATCGAGGGCGCTGTTTGTTACTGATGTCGACGACGAGATATATGCACAACTGTAGATGTTCAAACAAAACGTTAGAATAAAATATAAGAACAGGTCAGAGGGTTTAACGAATAAATAAAGTATATAAAAAGAATAAATTGTTTTATCTTTAGAAGACCTTCCTAATAACACTGTCCGACAAAATCAAACTTCTTTTCTGGGTTCCTATAGCCACTATGAAATTCTTGTAGAGCTTCGCCCCCTGAACAAGAATCCGAAAACCGAATTGCTCCATCACCCTCAGTTTTTTAAATAAACGAACTTTTGTAAAAACCCAAAATTTTCGACAAAAATGAGGTATCGCATGAAAAGTAAAAACGTTAGGAAGTTCTAATTGGTGTTAAAAGATAGAGGTGAGTTTCCCGAATATAGTGGCATGCAATTTATTAATTGTTTTTGGTCCTAAATAGCAATGAATTGATGTCAAAGTTTAAAAAAGTGTCGACGTGCGCAGTTTCTCCGCAATGTTTTTGTATTTTTACGAAAAGTTCTTTGTTCAGCACGAAAACTCTACCCAGGATCGAATTCTATAGACATTTCTGAAGAAGAAACGGCCTGATAGAAGTGTCAGAACGATGTACATTTTGAGTAGGTCGAGAAAATGTTCGTCAGCAACATGTACACGATATATATATATTAGTATATTACGTTAGTATTTGTATTATTATTATAGTATTATTAGTAGTTAGTATTAGTATTATTAGTATATATATTAGTGTCAGAGAAGTATATAATATTATATATAATTAGTATCTAATTAATTAGAATCAAACAATGCCGATTACTCGAGCATCCCCTATAATTATGTATACGTACGTGTACGTATGTATAACATATATGAATCTAATTTCATTAATTAATTTGTTATATTGCCAATTGATATGAATTGACGAAACTCTGAAGCAGAAACTCTGCAGTCGGAATGGGTCGCGCCTGGAGATAGACTATTCGGTATACACATTTATGATTATGCAAACTCGTAGTCTCCTTTTCCTTTACTGACAATAATCCGAACGTTTCCGACAGTGTCCGAACGTTTCTGAATTCATGTCGCGTCAGAAGGACCACGGTCTCATCGTGTGAACATAATATATTTCGACTGGCGACGATTAAATAAAGAATTGATCATCGAATAAGTCATAACTTATAAATACAGTATTACGTTGGTCATTCGACATTGGCGTTCCGCGATCGCTATAAATCTAAACCGGTACCGTTCTCTAGATGCTTTTTACATGCCGCCGGACAAACTTTACTCAAAATAAGTCCGTGTTATCGAGTCACACAGCTATCGGTAGATAAAGAGTTAAGGCACAGATCTCTCGATTCCAAGTATTCAAGGTGATGCCTTAGTCGCCGTCATGTCCACGGTCGCGGTCAATGTTCAAGCAGAAAGTAAGTATCACTTTATTCTTGGTAATACTGAAGAACAAAACCTATCAACCTTGTCGATTAGCTATCAGTGCATTCTTCCGTGAACGATACCCCTGACGCCAATTGCGTATAGAATACAATGCACTCTCCTTATCTAGAGAAGATCGTTTGCTACTTCGGTAGCTGGACCGTCTATCGACCAGGGAACGGGAAGATTGAGATAAAGGACATCGACCCGAGCCTTTGCACGCACATGATCTACAGTTTCGTTGGTCTTAACACGGATGGTACCATTAAGATCATGGACCCTTGGGCCGATTTGCCTGACGGCGGAGGCAAAGACGGCTTCGGCAAGTTCGTCGCTCGCAGCAAACAGGGCGGTGCCAAAGCTATGATCGCGATCGGTGGCTGGAACGAGGGTTCTGCCAAGTATTCCCAGGTAGTTGGCAACCCGGGACTCCGGTCCCAGTTCGTTCGGAACGTGGTCAGTTTCCTGCAACGGTACAAGTTCGACGGTTTCGACGTCGACTGGGAGTATCCTAACCAGCGCGGTGGCCAATGGAGCGACCGAGAGAACTTTGTGGCTCTGTTGAGGGAGCTGAGACAGGCTTTCGATAGCCACGGTTACACCCTCAGCGTGGCCGTTGGCGCCGCCGAGAAGTCTGCTTCTCAGTCCTATATCATTAATCAAGTGGCTCAGTATGTTCACTTCATCAACTTGATGACCTATGACATGAACGGATCCTGGAACAATTGGGTTGGCCTCAATGCCCCTCTCTATGCTGCTACTCGGGAAAAAGGAGAGCAAGCTAAACTCAACGTTGTAAGTGCACAAATGGCTATTGGTGTACTTCATTATTTATGTACGATCTCTCGGTCTTGATGGTTGAATTGTTCTGTATTATTCTAGGACGCTTCCGTCCATTACTGGCTCTCTCAAGGTGCTCCCGCTGACAAG